TTGACAATTATTCAGAATTGTAAAATCTCAGACCTTAAACGTTCCCGAAGAAGCTCTATTCAAGAGGACAGGCCTGTTTAGGGGCCTGCAGGGTAACATGCCTGATGAGGTAGTGGGATTAACTTCTCGTGGTCCAAGCTCTAGAACGTCTTGTGGAAACCCTTGCGAAACTATACCGTACCATAACGCCTTCTAGCCTGGCAACAGTGTTCCAAAGGCTGTGTTCCTCCTTGAGGATACGGGAATTTCCTACAGTCAGCCTCCTTTTGTGTGTCCTTCCAAAGATCCCATAATTCAGGGTCCAAGATGGCCACCTATTTTCTGAAACACACCATCTCTCGAATGCTTGAGGGTACGTGATTTGAAAAGCATATGACATAGAAAAATATAATTCTCAACACCCTGTAAGCTTTGGCTTGCGAAACTGACTCTTGCGATATGGCTTGCTGGTGGGCGCGTAGAAAGAACAAGCCTAGCATATGTGTATACATATATATATATATATATATATATATATATATTTATTTATTTAAATGTATGTATGTATGTAATTATGTATGTATGCCGAACCGCTAGGCAACTTCCGTTCGTTCTGACAGCCAGGGCTGATACCCACCATGTAGCCTGTAAGCCTGAATAGGACCCCCGAGCCTGAGCATATGTGCTGTTGGGAGTTGACTGCTTGGAACTTAGAAATTTGGGGCTTCGGGTTTAGGGTTGAGGGTTAAGGGTTCAGGGCTTAATTACGGTTTAGGATTGGCCGGGTTTCGGCATAGTACCGAGCAAGGAGACTAGTTTTGCGTCGCGCGGAAGTTTCTCGCGCTGATCTCCGGTCTGACCATCGAGTACCTTTCTAGGCTCAGCTGCACCACCTTACGCTTCAGAACACGATGGCTCAAGGCTAGCAAAGACCCAAGGTTCCACTCCCCTAGGCTCGAAAGCACTGCACTCTCCAATGCAAAACAACTGTATATAATACTCGGAAACCCTATAGAATCGAAAGCCGTACTAAACTCTTTACCCTAAACTTTGAATCCAGTAACTCCGAACATCTCTAACTCTACTCTAGACTTATCATAGCCCTGGACTCTAGACCCCGAAGCTGTGATGTGGCGCAGTGTGCAGCCAGGAACCTCAACGTCACCTGCAGGCTACAGGCGCGGGTTAAAGCACCCAGCCATGCAACCAAAGGACTTAATTTAGGGCCTTAAAGACTTACCTGTACTGTTCACGCAATTTACTTATTTGTTTATGTTTTTTGGGAGGGGGGTCCTGTTTATCATTATAGTACTGTACTGTATACCCCCAAACCCTATTCTAATTATGAAGACACCTACATTACACGAGCCAAGGCTTCAGGCCAAGATTCGATGCCTGGCTTTTACTTGATATTTTTAGGCCTTCAGGGTGCTCGGTTCAGGAATTATTGCCTGTTACAGCTTAGAGGTTAAGGCTTCGGGTTTAGGGTTTTACGGCTTTAGGTTCTAGTCCATGGATGAGTCCTTGAATGACCGCTTCTGCACCCATCGGAGTGCCTGGCTACTGAACCCTAAACCCTAAACTGCTTTCTCTAGCAAAGCGATGCAAGCTAGACTATCTCATGGGTTCACAGCTCTGATAGCACTGGAGGATGGGGTTCGTCCAAGGGACAGGCACTGTAGGGCCAAAAAGTGCAGTAGTCTAGGAACCTCATCTGAGGTTCAATGCCCTTAGATGCTGAACCATGCATCTGTGCACACCTCATTTAACAGCTGCTCGCAATGACATATTTAGTTTGCCTCTAACATGCAGCTAACAATCCCCTTGCTCCAAGCCCTGGGGTAAGACCTTCGGTGCACGCCCGCAGTGGCTCAAGCTCCAGGCTCCACCATTCTGGGTCTGATTTGGGTCTCAACAGGAATCCCCAAAGAATCCAGTATTGGCCTACCAAAGGTAGCCAATGCTGCACAGTTCAAAGGCTTCAAAGAGTCGGCGCAACGTCCACTCTGTCTTCTTACAGTTGTGTGGGCTGCCGTGATGTTCACTTCTGCTGGATAGCTGGGGTGAGAACTTGAAAGAAACAAATTATATACTTACTGGGCCCACCTTGGCAAGTCGCCAGCCAAGAATACAACGATCCTGCAACCTGTCCCCGGATACGGAGACAAGCGTTTGGGGGCGAGGGGGGGGGGGGGTATGTGGTCCTAAACCCCAAGTAAAGAACCTGAGCGAAAGGTTTTACAGTTCTACTAAACACCCCATAACCCCTAAACGCTGAACCTCGCAGAGCGTTGGATGTGGGGTATATTCTAGCAATCCTCCACGCGCGAAACACCCAACTTTGGGCCTTTTGGTATTATAGGGGCCTTTGAGTATAGTATTAAGTGGGTATAACATAAGGAACCTGAGGGAAGAGACCAATAGGTGTACGAAAAGCACTGAACTTTAAACCAAGGAGACCGTTGGAAGCAGATTGGACTTGCGAGGAAGGCATAGCTAAACCGCCCGCGGAGAGCCGCATTGACATTCCCGCCGAAGAAGGTCGGTTCAATTTGCTCTTAATTTACTTCTCCTTGCTTGGTCTTGCGGTTTAATTAGGGTTTCAGAAGCTTGGAGTTCATTTGCAGTGATCTTTATGGCTCCTACTATGTTTAGGATCAAATGCCCGGGTTCTCTGGCTTTCTGCAAAGCCATTCGTGCAAAAGCACTAGCATGCCTTATCTGAGCCACCAGTAGCTTCTATCAACGAAAAGCGGCATAAGCCCTGCTTCAAGAAACACTTCTGATGAACGTCTTAAACCCCTGAACCCCAAACCAATGAAGCCTGAACCTACACCCCGAAGCCCAACACCCCAAATCCTGCATCAACAACCTAAATCCTCTAAAGCCCACCCCACAACCGGGAGCTCAGAACCCTCTCAAGCCTAACCCTGAAGATCCTTGAACCCTTACCCTTAAACCCTGGATCTCTTTGGTCCGGATCACTTTAGTCCTACTTGGAGGATCAGGGGACTAAGTAAGTAAGGGTATAAGTGGTATAAGTACCCTAATTGGGGATATAAGTAACTATAACTATAGTTACCCTATTGCCTATGTATAACCCCAATTACTAAGTCCCATGGTCCTCCGAGTAGGCCCCGAAGCTGTAGTTCGACAGTCTGCACCCTTGTTGTCGTGTGGCGGAAACGCTTCCCAAGAAGAGAGCAGAGTTCAGGGTTCATAGGAAAACCTTCCCAACCTACAGAAGGGTTTAGCACTTCGAGTGCAAGCGAACCTGTGGGGTTCTGCGAGCTGTCACAAGAGGTTCTCGATGTTGACTAGTTTCTCGGTGCACAAACAGGATAAGGACGCCGGCAGTGGTGACAAAGTGACCAATTGCTGATGCCTTTTGACGGCGTCTAGACCTAAACCCCCAAATCGAAACTGCCTAAGCCTTGAGCCCTGAACCCTAACCTGATCCCTGAACTGGGACCGAGACTCAACACAACATCCACCTTAGGCAGCCTAATGTGTCCGTGAACCAGGAAAGGCTACGGGCTCACCCAAAGGGTCTTAACTACCATGAAAAATACTTTCCTAAACCATAACTAGTAATCCCTATCATGATGGAAGCCGTATAGTTTCTACTATGTAGTTACTTGGGACCCTACACTTAGGGCTTCGAGACGACCTTCGGACTTCGTGTTTATCCAGGGCTCAAGTGAGGTGCCGAAGGACGTTGGAGGTTCAGAGCCAGCTAGACGGTCAGAACCTATGGCCTGCAGATTGATCTTGCATATACTTTATGTATAGATTTCCCAGGCGCTTCTCGTAAGCTGCAACACAGCTGCCAGACAGAATTTCGCGGCTCCCGCCTCTTTGCAAGAATCAAGCATACTTGATTTCTCGATCATTGCCACACCTCTTAAGGGCCTCGCGGCTGCCGATCTGGATGGATAGTTGAAGCGTAAGATATTCAGCCTAGACGATTAAAGGACAGTGCCGGATGCTTCCACGATGCTACCTATTTAAAGCTGCGTATGACCATGCTGTACACCACATCCGTGATAATTACGCGATAGCAAGACTAAGACTGACCAGGGCAGTCAACACACGGATCAAGATCGCAAGCAGAGTAGATGCAGTTGCGCAAAAAGAAGGTTGTAGCAGCCACAGCAGCGGGTAGCAGCAGCCGTGGTAAAAAAGAAAAAGTTGTCGTTTGGTTCTCATGCTCCTCTTCATCGTCGCGGTCAATCTTGTTGCTTGAGGGAATAATAGCCGTAGAAATAGACGTAGAAGCACAGGTAGAGGGAGAGGTAGAGGTCGAGGTCGCGGCAGCAGCAGCAAGAGTAGTACGTAGTTGTGATAGTAGCCGCAGTAGTAGCAATAATTATTCTTGTTATTATTACTATTAGTAGTAGTAGTAGTAGTAGTAGTAGTAGTAGTAGTAGTAGTAGTAGTAGTAGCAGTAGTATTAGCAGTAGCAGCAGTATAGTCGTGGTGGTAGTGGTGGTGGAAGTGGTAGTGGTAGTGGTAGTGCTTGGTAGTGGTAGTCGTCGTTGTCGTGGTCGTTGTCGAGGTTGTGGTGGTAGTGGTCGTGGTCGTAGTGCTAGTGCTAGTGCTTGGTAGTGGAGGTGGTAGTGGTAGTGGTCGTGGTCGTGGTGGTGGTGGTGGTGGTGGAAGAGGTCGTGGTCGTGATCGCGGTGGTCGTGGTAGTCTTAGTGTAGTCGTAGTGGTAGTCGTGGCGGTGGTGGTTGTTGCAGCAGCAGTCGTCGTCATCGTCGCTGCTCGTCTAGTAGCAGCACTAGCTGCAGCGAAAAGAAGGGAAGCAGTGGCAGAAGCAGCAGCAGCAGCAGCGGCAGCAGCAGCAATGGCGGCAACACCGACAATAACATGAACAGAACTCAGAGGTAGATCACAAGGTTACCAGTATTCAATAGTTTACCGTTACAACATGAAGGTATAAGAGCAACACGAAGCCATGCAACTTGCTACCCGAGGTCCTTACTGCGGATTTTACCTGCGACGACTTATTCGTCGGCTCACTCCACGGCCATAGCCTTCACTTTGCTGGCGAAGACTTGCCCCTGTTTCGTTGCCTTGAGCTGCACAAGGTTCAGGGATTTTGGGGTTTGGGTTTAAGGTTCGGTGTACCAGTGGGATTGAGCATCAGAGTATGGAGCAGCTTGAAACGCAAACAGAATTGGGTTCAGGAGCTCTTCAAAGCAGCGCTGAGACCTCGAGACGTAAAGCCAAGGACATGTCGGGATCAGGCAGAAAGTTTGTGTAAAGGGGGGCTTTCTTTCCTGGCCTCGTAGCTTGAAGAGTGGCAGAAACTAAGCTAGCGGAAAATCCTAATCTCCAGTAGAAGCTCATAAGATATGTGCTTGACGGATCGTGGAATGTGGGACGCAGGTAGGGAAGGTTGAAAGAGCCATACTCACGCGCTATGCTCCCCCGTTCAAACGCGCACAAGCTTTGTGGACCTAGACCCTATGCACTTCTATTTGGGGTTGCCGAAAGGTCCACAGAAGCCCGAATCCCATAAACTTCATAAGAGGGGGTAATGAGCTACAGCAAGCTGCGCAATATCCAAGCATGCGTGTGCCTTAAACTACTATAGACAGCGCGTTCTTACTCCCTAAACTACCCTAACCCTAAACCCTAAACCGAAGGGCTTCGCATTACAACTTTGAGAAGTCTTCCTGAATCCAAGGAAGCTCGGTCTCGCCGCGCATCGAACCCTAAACCCTAAGTTATAAACTTTCGGGGTTCGGTTCAGCGTTTTGAGTTGAAGGGTTTACGGGTTTGGAGCTGAGGGTTACCTAACCCCTACACTCCACACAGGAAATCGTCCTATCGACAAGCTGAGGCAAGAGCAATCGCCAGCTCAATGGCAGAAGGCTCTCGGCTCCTGAGCGGTTCGATTGAGAAAATGAATACTGCAAACCCTTTTATATCACTATCGTTTCTCTTACTAATTGTATTATCACTATTATCTTTATCAATAATGTTGTTATGATTCTCATTATTATTTCAGACTTGAACTTGAGGGTTTAGGGCGTGCAGGCCTCGGGATACAATAATTTAAGGTTGGCCAGGACCCGAAAAGTAGCCCTTAACAGGTCTCACATTCCTTACTAAGAGGTAGTCAGGGGCCTCAATGACGTGCAGTTTCGGAGGGGGATCCAAAACAGGGGCCTGAATAAAAAGAACAGTACCCTTATAAATCCCTTATAGCAGCCCTTATAGACCCCTTTAAAGGAGCCCTAATGTATTGGGTTGTCTGGAAAGTCCAGCGGTCTCGATGCTTTGAGTCTGTCCTGGCTGCTCTGAGCTGTTCATTTCACAGCTGCAGCCCCGAGCCCTATTCCCGAAGCCATAAAGGCCATAAAACACCCTGGAACCAAAACCCGACATGCAACACAAAATCCTGCACACCGCAAGTCCGCAAATCCCAAACCAACACCAGGCTAGCAGGTTCGGTGCTCGCGAGCTTTTCGCGGATGATCTTTGCGGCATCGATTTGCGAGTGCTTTGGATTGTGGCAGTGTTGCGATCATTGCAACTCTCACTGCTATGATCATTGTTCTCGTTTGCACGTGATTTGCTGACTGCACGCTCAGTGCTGATCTAAAACCCCAGCCAAAAACCGAGGGGCCCGTCAGGACCGGCATAGCAGCTGGCGCCCCAAGGGCTTCCGCCATGCAACTCCTCCCAGGGTTTCTGCTGAAATTAAGGGGGATTTGCACATCGCAGCGTAGGTTTGTTTATGAGGTGTTTAGGTGTAGGGTCTGGGGTGTGGTTTATAGGGTGAGAATTATTCTTAGTCTTCTGATGACGACAGTGCTGTGATCTAATATGACGACGGTGCTGATGCAAAGCAACACCGTGCTATTGCCGATGCATTGTAACGGGACCATTGTTAGCAATAGTGCTCACGAAACTACACATGAAAATCATACCCGCATGTACATCATCACAGACATCCTGTACAGTTTGCAGCTGTTCGCGGGCCGGCTCAGCATCTTTCATTCAAGCATTAAACACCACAGCCCAAACTCCCTTATATAGAGCAGGCGCCTGATCTGTCAGATCGCTATGGCCAATCAGCTCGGGCAGGAAGGCATCAAAGAGATTGTGAGGGGTTGGATTTGGGTTTAAAGGGATTAAGAAAGCATGGGCCTAAGATTAAGGGAAGGTTCGCGCACATCCGCCGCGACGGCCCGAAATCCTATCCGGGCCACACCACGAATATTCAAATCTTACCACTTCACAGCAAAGGAGGCTATGACCCCTCTGTTAGAGAGTGTGTCCGGTACCCTAAGACAGAGAGCTTTTGGATCCCCACGTAGGGGTGCATACTAACTACTATTGGAACAGTCGTAGTCGCAGTAGTAATGTTGGTCATCGTAGTAAAGATGGTAGCATTGCTAGGGTTTCTCAAATCCGAGCCCACGAGCTGCCTCCATGTTGAAGATTTCCGGCGCAGCGTAGCCCAGAGGCACCTCAGGATGTGGATCTGCTGCGATTTGAGCTTTGAGTTTGGGAGTTTCCGCAGATCTACTGCGGTTTAGGGCTTAGGGTTTGGAGTGTTTTAGGTGATGCTAACAGCTGTCTGGGAAGGTGGGATACGATCGGAAAAAAGCAAGGACCCACAATGTTGAGACTGTTTGGACCGCATTCCCTGCCGTGAAGATGTTGCTATTGTTCAGCCCAAACGGCAAACCCTGTACATGCTCATAACAAGAAGATTCTGGAATCTGACGAACCACACGGGGATCAGGAATTGAGTGCAGTGTGCCCGTGATCAAGAAACCGCCTGCTTTACGGGACAAAACAGAACCCCTGATGTGAGTGCTGATCAAGTGATGGATGTTAAGACGTCGGAGGCTAAACCTAAACCCTTAACTCACTCTCATCAACCCAAGACGTCTCACCCACAAGACTAGCGCTCTTACTGTCCACGTGTTGTTCCTCATGACGGTGATGGTGGCGACGAGTCTTGTTGCTGGACCATTGTGAATTGACTGAAATGGTGACATGCTGCTGCCGCTGCATGATGAAGATGGCTGTGATGTGCATGATTCTGGGGATGGAAACCATGGCGATATGCCTGATGATGCCGACAGCGATGACGACACGACACAGGTGTGTAGAAAGATAAATCATAAACTTGTGTGTCATGATGTTGGCGATGAGACATGGATAGGACAACGGTACGATGAATCATGCTGTTGCTGTTCCTAGCGGCCGCTGCTGCGTTCCGGCACTGGTACTACCTGCTTCTGCTGCCTTTCCCCTAAACCCTAAACTTTAAAGACCCAAACCACCAGAACCCTAAACTCTAAACGGAATCCCGCCTAAACACTAGCCTTCGTTTGCGGCCATAGCGCGAAAATCATGCCGTGGTGGACCAAGTTGGTGAGATGCGTGAGGTGGGTTGTCTCCTCTCGTTGGGAGCGTGGGCCTTGATAGCTAGGGCCTCTAGAGCAACCGATTCTTTGGGACTTAGGGGTCATTAATGCAAGTGATGTATGTACTACCGTTCTGTTGCTGCTCTCTTCCAAGGAGGATCTACGAGGGACCAGCGTAATTCCCGGTAATCTCAGAAGTCGCAAAGACCCAGCCCCACCTGATACTTTATAAACAACCTTAATAATTAGAATGGGGTTTGGGGGTACATCATAATACTATAAGTCTATAAGTATTGAAAGGACCTCCCCAAACCATGAAAACTCAATCATGTTGAGCGCTTCAGAAACAACTACAAGAGTGCGCCCAGAAAACAGGGCACTAGTTTGGAGCGGTCCCGGTGAAGAGAAAGCTTCTGGCCTCAAGATGGAGGATTAGTTCTAGCTAGGGTGCAAGTGCAGGGTACGGAGGGTTACGAGCACACGCGGCAAAACTGGATAGCAGCTGTAGAAATACTGTTTTGTTAAATGCGAGATTCAGACAACAAGGGACCTTGCATACCATGAATAGTAGGACCCATACTGCAAGCACCCCTAAGTGAGGGGCCTCGACTTTACGAGCCACCGAACACACCATGGGCACTTAGGGTTCAGAGTTGTCATCCCCTCGTCAGCTCCCACAACTCAGAACCCAGCCCTAGTTTAGCCTCAAACCTTGCAAAGCCCAAGTTGCACCCCATAGTCGGACATACGGCTAAGGGGGCTTTGTAATTCAGCTGAGTGCACAGGGCTCGACACCCAGAACCGCAAGAGTAACAGTGACCACCCAACACCCTGAACCTTTAAACTCCTAAACTCCAAACCTTAACCCTCCTACAAAAACCCAAGGTCGTCCTTATCAAACCTTCGCCCATGACCCTGGCCCTCAGTAAAGTCATGTAAACCCTAGGCTCAGAGTAAGGGTGGAGAGTTTAAGGTCCAGACTTTGGTGGGGGGGGGGGGGGGGTTGGGGGTTTAGGGTGTTAAGGACTATAATAAAAACAAACCCTCAGACCCCTGAACCCTAAACCCCTAACCCCCAAACCCTGAACCCTGAACCCAGTTTACAAGCTCGTCAGCTGTCCTGGCCGCCCTGTGGTGTGCCAGTGCTCACAAAGGAGGCCCCGAGCTTTCCAACCAGCTTGCCACCTACCAGGGATTAGGGCTTAGGGTTTAGGGTTTAGGGCTTAGGGTTTAGGGTTTAGGGCCTTAAAGAAGTGCTTTACAACGTTGTTCAAGAGATTGGTTTTAGATGTTGCAAGCGTTCTGGGCCTTACGCCTTTCCCGTTTTGGAATTTAGTGCATGCAAGAGGGAGAAAGGTTAAGGTGGTTCGGGGCAAGGGCTTAGCAAAGGCTTTAGCTCCAGGGATGACATGTGGGATTCTTGAATCCTTCATAGTCAGGGTTAAGTAGGGCGCTGAACTCTCCCTGTAGCTCCAGTATCTACTACTTCTAGAGCTAAAGCCTTCGATGGTGCTTTTGTAGGGCGCTGGGCGGCCCTGAACCGCACGCCCCCAGATCTACAACCTTACATGCCGAACCAAGACATCCTTCCTTCTCCCCTGAAGCGGTTACAACAAAAAGCACCCTCAACCCCAGAATGCTTAAACCACACTCGTGAAACCTTTACGCCCCTGCTTCAATCCCTAAACCCTCCACCCCCAAAGCACCAAACCATACACCCCAAACCCTAAACCCCAAACCAAGAACCCCTAAACCCTAAACCCCTAAAAAGGTTACCCCGGCCTGCCCAGAGGCCTCCCGTGGCATCCCAGAAGCTCTTGATCTGCGAGGCGGGCTGCCCGAAGCGCGTCGGCAGCCCAAACATGATGCCATCATAATCGAGGAGCTTCCTCGGTTTACACCCCTTTAGAAAAAATGGAGGGTTTAGGGCTTACAGGCATAGTCCAGGAGCTTCCTTGGTTTAAACCCTAATAAACCCTAAACATTGGGATTTAGGAAAAAATGGAGGGTTATCATAATCCAGGAGCTTCCTTGGCTTAAAACCCTATAAACCTAAACATTGGGATTTAGAAATAAAATGGAGGGTTTAGGGCTTACAGGCATAATTACAGGGGCTTCCTAGGGGTATAGAGCCGTAAGGATTTAGGGCTTAGGGTTTAGCGGTTTGTAAAATGCGACCCACAAGCTTCCTAAAGCTTTAGAGGCTTTTGGAATCTGGGATTTAGGGTGTGCCAGATCTAATCCGGGAGTCTCCTTGGGGTTTAGGAATTCGAGCTTAGGGTTTGCAAGATTTGGGATTTCGGTGTTGGGTGTGACTTTAGGGTTTCATTTCACGGTTTATAACATGAAGTGCTCAGAGTTTGGATCCTTGGCGGACGGGTTGTGTTTAGGTTTTGGGTGTAAGGGTTCGCGGCCTGCGGCTGTAGGGCTGTATGGTGAGAGTTTGGGGGTTTCGACATGCTGCCACCTCGGTACAGCGGACTCCGGGGCCTGGTTCGTAGGACTAGCACCGGCGCCGGATACGACAATTGTATTCTTTTAAGGAGGCTCGTTTAAGGATTCATTTAGGGCGGGTTCCTATAAGGGCTCCTGTAAGGGTTCCTGTAAGTGGCGGGACTATCCCAAAGCTGACCTTGAACCTTACACCCTGAAAGCCTACACCCTGAAATCTCAACCCTAAACCATCAAAGCTTCTCGATGTTCGAGTGCTCGATGACCGTATGGTCTGCCTTGGGCGGCGCCTTCATGGCTCCCAGCACCTTCGGGCAATCAAGATCAAGCAAGGTTCCGGGTTTAGGACTTCAGTGTTTCAGGGCTCATTAGGAAGTAATATAAGGGCCTTGAAACTTGGAATAGGGTTTCGGGGCCCAGTATACTATAATTATATTCAGGAACCACCAAAATAGTCTAGGTAATTGCTGAGGCCCCTAAAAGAGTAGGGGTTTCGGGTTTAGGGTGGAGGCCCTACAAACCGACCGGAGCACGATTTCAAGCGACTGGAATCTTTGAGTGGATCAGGCTTAGGACGTATTCATACGATTAATTAGCATGTGGGTGGTTGTCAAAAGTATGGTCCCTCTGTGAATCCCTGGTATAATTCCGCAGCTACTATTTAGGGCACCCAGAAAGGGATCCTGATTTTGACAACTGCCCACGTGCAAATTACCGAGGCTCCTGCACCCCATCACGAACCCCATCCTCGAAGAAAAGGAACTCACAAGACCTGGAAACCGAAATCCGGGAATCCCAAAATCGTAAACCATAACTTTATAAGGAACCTAGGACTACAAAAGGGAATAAGGGTACTACTGGGCATCCTAGAAACCCTAAATCGTAAACCCTAAAACGAACTATGTATCCTGAAGCCTCACTTGGGGGGTCGGGGGACTTAGTAACTGGTTATTTTAGGGACTTAGAAGTACGTGTACCATAACCCCAATTAGGGTCCCTTTTAGGGTACTTATAAGTCTACTTACTACCTACTACCTAAGTCCCCCGACCCTCCAAGCAACTGCTATGAGCCACAAACGCTTTAAACTTTCTCGTGCGTGGCATTGTGCTATATAAACATCATGGGCCCTGAAACCCTCAAGCCCTAAATCCTAATCAATCCCTGAAACGCGAAACCCTAAACCGACGACTTAACCACAGTTCTAATCACTCCCTAAACCCTAATCGAACCATTGCAAGCCCTGGGCCCTAAACCCTCAATACTACATCCTACGCTCTAAACTCTAAACTCCTAAACCCGAAATTTCATAATCCTGAGCCCAAAACCCAAACCCGAAATCCTAAGCCCTGAACCCCCAAAAGCCTAAACCCCAAAACCTACGGCCTAACACGCTCTCTAAACGAACTGGGCGTGGTGGTGGGGGCCAATATCGGGCCTTCATAATTACAATAGGGTTCTTGGGTAAACTGTATAGTATTCATGACCAGGAACCGTACGGAATACGACTACTTACTGATTACTGATCATGCCGTAAGTTCACGGTTCTGCTCTGCGCTATGGTGCAGGTAGGGTAGCCATAGGATGTCCTGGGAAACCCTTGCTTAGGGGTGCTCTCTTCCAAAGCCCAGAACCTCAGACACCCTAAGCTCTAAACCGTAAGCCTATAGTTGGTAAGTATAAGTTCCGAGTTTCTGAAACTCCAATGCGTATTCGGATGCATGCGGCTTTTCCGGTGGGTGAGGGTTGCTTCTTTGTCTGGATTTGGAAGGCAGGTTTAGGGTTTAGGGTTTTTAACTTTTGGCTCGCGGGTGCGGTGGTGAGCATTTAGGCTTTGGGAGTACAGTTTATTGCTTTCGAGTTTAATCACGCTGATTCAAACTGTTAGCCAGGAGCTGAGTCATTGTTTTGGATCCCTCGGGATCAATCCTCCCGGATTCTATACTATCCTGGGCTGTCTATCCAGGGCGCTCCCTCCGGCAATGTCTCAGAGACCTGGAGTAGGTCCACCTGCTTTTAGGGTTTTCGAAATAGGGTTTTGGGGATTAGGAACAAGGGCTTTGAGGGCCTAGGGTTTGGGTTTCGGGCTTCAGGTCTCTGGGGTTGAGCATCAAGACCCAAAGAGCTCGAGGGAGCTGCTTTCGCTCTCGCCGCCCTTGAGCTCCTGCTACACCTAGAGCTCATAATTAACTAAGATCTCCGTTAGGATCAGGTTCTTTGTTGAGCTCCTCTTTGCACCTGCAGCACAAGTACTGGTCTACAGTTAAGGGTTTATAGGGTGCAAGGTTGATTGTTACATATGCCTCTCTTCATTGGTGATTTCATTCCAGGAATGCTGGGTTCTTCCCAATGAGCGAGGTTGAAGATGATGTAATTGACTGCATCTGTAGTATATGGTAAATCCCAATGCTGCCCTCCGGCGGCGTACACCATCATCGGCGAGAGCTTGCTGGAAATTCATGTGACGCCCCGGCCTTAAGCCTGCACCCTGAAATCGTTCACCTTAAATCGCTTTGTGAACTCCCCAAACTCCCCAAGGCCTGAGACCCAAAAGCCCTAAACCCTGAGGAACCAAATCCTTCAAGCCTGTAGAGCATCCTAAAAGGTCAAAGCGCTGAACTTCCCCTAATCCCACAAGCCGAGTATAGTGCCTTTGATGATTAGAACAGGGTTTTGGGGTATATTATACTATAACCATGATCAGGAGCCACCAAAAATAGCATAGGTAATCATTAAAGCCCCTCTAGTAGAACCCTAAAACCTTGGAAACCCAACAATTGAAACCCTCAGCCCGACGACCTCCACGCCCTCCTTCTTGGCCGCATCTGCGATCCTTGGCAGCTAAAGGTGTGCCTCTTCAGGGCAGGGTTTAGGGTTTAGGGTGGAGATCCAGCCATTGAGCTGCTTGCTTTCCCTTAGGGTCCAAAGGACCCCAGAATCAGATACTTGGGTTTAGGATAGTATAGTTTTGTAGGTTACTGCTTGAGAAGTATATGACTATTAGGTACTTGGACCCAGAGGGTTTTATTGCAGGTGTTGGGCTACCGTGTTTTCCACCGATTTGATTTGTTTGTAGCTGCAGAAGGTAAGAGGTAAGCTTTTCCTGTATCCAGGATAAACCCTGAACCATAAACCAGCCTCCGAATAAAGGAGAGACGCAACCTTGCAAATGCCGAAAGTAATATGAGATTGGCTTGATTGTGGCCTTGGTTGCTTTCAGCAAAGTCTTTTAAGATTTCAGGGTCAGTGTTTTGGGCGTTGTGCTTTGGGTGTCGAGCCGAGACATACAGACCGGCTTCAGGACTGCAGGTGGGAGTTTCCGACTATGAGGGGGGGGACCTTATTTTGGGGTTCATACAATAAGGATCCTACTATTTAAGGTACTATATTGGGATCCCCTACTTTTGAAACTCCCAGTCGGGTCAAGGGTATCGTCAGCACATCTTTCAATGTGCTCCAGTGGTGAAGTCTCGATCATTCTGACAAAATCGACGTCAGACCTCTATGAACTTACTCTCTTCATGTCTAAAGGAATGAGAAGTTCAAGCCCTCTAAAACTCTAAAAGCCCTAGACCCCAAAAATCCCAAGGCCCTACACCTAAAGCGCCTAATCTCTAAAACCCCCTAAACCACCAAACCCTAAACCTAAACCCGAAACCCCTAAACCCTAAAACTCGAAAGCCCTGAACCTAAAAACCCGCAATCTCAAGAACCTCCTAAACCCTGAATCCCTGCTTTTTTTTTGGACCACGATGTCAAGCACTTTTTGTAAGAGTCAGAGGGGCGCATCCGCCATCTTCTTGATATGTCCGTACCTCGGCGGTTTTGCAGGGGGTTTGAGGTTTAGGGCTTTGGGGTTTTAGGGTTTAGGGTACTTGGAGTTTTAGGGTTTAGGGGTTTAGGGTTTCGAGTTCCTGATTATGTTTGTTTTATTTTTTTTTGGGGGGGGGGGGGGGGAGTATATAGGGTTTGGGATTAGGGTTTAGAGCCCCACCCAGAACCCTGAACTAAATCCGTGCAAGGTTTGTTCAGGGTTCGTATGAAGCTTGCGGCTTGCAGCTTACATTTGCGGCGCCAGTCTTGTGACTTGTACAAGGTGATTAGCAGTGTAGATGATGGCACCTGGATAGCTTCTGTGAGGGTCACGACATGTAGAGACTGAAACCATCGAATCAATCATATAACATACGACCCTAAACCGATGGCCCATGACCCTAAATTCAACATGGACCGAAGTTGCATGGAGTAGTAGACGATGGCCATCTTGGCTGTCTTCTTGGGGGTCTCCTGCTTCGAGCGCTTGACGACGCCAGCAAACCTGCGCTGTGGCGTTCAGGGGGGGCGGCTTACGTCTGCATTGCTGCCTTTATTCTCGGTGGATAGCGTCTGGCTTCAGAGACCAAGAGTAACAGGTAATTGGACAGCAGACTGACCAAATGAGAACGAACAGATGCACAGGTGAAATCCCAGTGGCAACAACAGAAACCCACAACCCAAAATACCTTAAACCCCAAACCTCGACCCTTGGCCTAAACCCAAACGGCCCACATCGACTCTCTAAAGGCTTGGCATGCCCCCGCCCGCCGAGCCGAAGAATGCCAACCGCGACACAAGATCAAAGAGCACCAATGACGGCCTATAACCGTTTACTGTTAGGCTTTCCATGCCAAAGGGCTCAGGCTTGCATATATATATATATATATATATATGTATATACATATTTATATATATATTTATATATGCACATGTATATATATATATATACATTTATATGTATATAATGAAGTGGTATCTCTTACTTTTCTCCGGTGTTCAGAATGAGAACCCAGTGACTGAAATCGCAACCCGGAAGTCGATCAGCAAAACCGCAGTTCATGGTGCCGAGGCACGCTTCGGCATGGGCCTTCACAATCTTCTTCTCCCCCTCTGAGGGCATTCGACTACCGTCACCGTTAGCGATGGTGCTCGCCCCCCAAGGGCTGCCGCCACCCACCTCTCAGCTTTCTAGCCATGCTTCTTGGTAGCGTGCGCTTTGAAAGAGGCGCAGTTTGATTTGAATCTGCTTATAGACTTATAGATTAATCTACACTGTACACTGCGATAGTGCGTTTTGACCAGGGCACAACCGACCCCTGGCATCACTCGGCAAACCCAACTGCATTAGCAGCAACGAGAGAAGCAGCGTCGCTGTTGTTGTCGCACGTGTACGAGCACGAACATGACAAGAAGGAGCAGCAGAAGCAGAATCAGCATCTGTGCACATCTGTTCGACGAGACTTTATGCAGTTGGTAAGTACAAGGCCAGAACTTGAAGAAACTCACCCGTTTGATCCCTCAAGTTCAAGCGGCAGCTGCAGCAGCGCCTCTTTAGAGGCAACAAATCCGAAATTAGTCGTTGGATTACATGTTGAAGGTGGGCTGGAGAGTGAGGGCATCTGCCAAATGCTGAAATCCTGCAGCGGCAGAGAATACCACCCGCCTCTTAATCAAGAAGGGTCTGGCATGATTGACAGTCTGCACGTACGGAAATGGATACCTCACACGATAAAGCACCACGCCCAAAGTAACAAACTTCAAATGCCAGAAGCATACTACGTATCTATACTCTCCAATCTAGTGCATCGCTTGGGCTTCCTCAACCACAGAAACGCTTAGCCAAAGAAGAAAGTAGATGACGGTTACGGAGAACAGTGCACCCTAATGCAGACCCTAAACAGGAGGATGATGGAGACCCCTCAAACACGGCACCCCTAGTTTTCTGAAGCCTTGAACCCTCACCCTACGCCCGTATGGCATCCTCATGGAATCCTGATAAAAGCCCTTGTTGAATTCCCTATATGAAATCCCCACCGACTTCTTGGAACTCACTACAGAAGTCCCTGTAGAACCTTTCTGGAACCTCACAGGGTTTAGGGTTGAGGGGAATATAATACCTACAAGACCCCAAATCCCTTCAAACCTTAACCATATACACGTTTTAACCCTCAAGGAAGCCTTGGAAAGCACCCACAGCTGTCAAAAACACCGCCCCCGCTCCCCTGTATACGCAAGGCGAAACCAGTCCGCCTCCATCTTGAACTGTTCCTTGGCTCTCAGTGGACCAAGGAAGACACGTTAGCCTATAGCAGGTTCTGCCTCAGGGGTTCTAAAATTTAAAAGGGTTAGAGGGTCGAAACGAGAAGAGAATAGTAGACACAGGGTTTAGGGCCAAGGCTTCAGGAACTAGTTGTTTTGATGTTGCCTTGCGGGTCGAGTCTTTAATAGGGTTTAGGGTTTAGGCTTTAGGGTTTACGGTTTAGGGTTTAGGGTATCTGTAAGGAAACCGGACCAGATGCTAAACGAGTACTGACCCAGGCTCCTCCCCGCAGCGGTATCCAAGGGGAACGTAGCAGAGGCCATGATGGACGAGGGAGCTGACTGTCTGCAGGTGAGTCGTCTCTTGTCCTCCCAGGGTTAGGCTTTAAGGTTTGCGTTTTAAGATTTAGAGGTCCTGGGGGTTAGGATGAGGGGACCTTGGAGATAGAGACCCTCTCAAGAAGGTCCCTTTTAAGAGAGCCAGAAGTAGGGTTAAGAAGGGTCCCCTTTAAGGGGTCTCCCTATTTCTCCCTAGGCGTTCAGGATTCCGGGGTTTAGGATGGTTGCAGGAGTCATTCAGAAGCCTTAGGGTGCCCAAGTTCGGGCAGGAAACTACCCTAAGGCCCCAAAGTAGTTCCTTTTTGGGGTTCGTATATAGAATCCTATAAGGTCATCCCAAAAAGGAACTACTTTGGGGCCTATGGGTAGTGACAGTATAGAAACTAGAAGTTGGAGTGCAGAAGCAGCTTGAGACTAAGCCGGCCCTAATGCAGGCGCCCCCTGGTAGGATCCTTACGTCAAAGATCCTTGGTTAAATAAACCTGTATATGCCGCTCAACCTATTTAGCTGAAGGCTCTAAGTAAGCTCTTCGGCATATCAGGCTGTTGGACTCTTCTTAAACATAGCTTTAAGATATGGGTTGGGGCTAATGAGGGCTGCTATAAGCCAGTGTTCACCAGAACTTGTCTGTACTGCAAGCCCAAGATCTGCGTCGAACAAAGAGTCTGTTTACAACAACCCCGACACGAAAATCCTAAAAGGCCAAAGCCAGCCAAGCTCCTAGCCAAGCCTCACGCCTCAATCCCAAAAAGTGCGGCTGCCTCCTAACTCATTAATTATAACCCAAAAGAACCTTGGGAGCCAACCCCACACCAGGACTCTTAAAGAGGACGGGTTAGGGTTTACGGTTTAGGGTTTAGGGGTCCGGGTTACGGTTTAGGGTTTAGTGGTCCGGGTTTAGGGTTTAGGGGTATGGTTTTCGGGTTTCGGGTCTGCAAAGGTGTCCTCCGTTCTGCGTCCCGGTGCTGACAATCATGGTGGCCATCTTTCCCGACAGCTTCTGGGCCATCCAGAGGCCGCCCGTGCTATCAAAGAAGGACCTGTGGTTTAGGGTTTAGGGATTAGGGTTTAGGCACGGCAAACCCGGAAACCCGGACCCTACAACCCTAAACCTAAGCACTGAACCTGGGCCCTATAAACTCTTTGGGTTAGGGTTCGTGGGTCTTTGGACAAGGAGAGGTTGAGACTGCAGGGTTCCCAGTACGAAGTGCCTTCAACACTTAGAAAATTTTAGTCCTGTAGAACTCCAGTTTCGATGTTCAAAATGATTATCTTGGTACAGGGGCATGCTTCCTTAGGGTTCCCGAGTAGAGTAGAATGATAGTATACGATACCCCAAAGCCCTGTTAGATTTTAGGCCCTTTTGCTAGCCTTCGAAGTCCTACTGTTAGACACCAGATTACCCTGGAGTTTCGGGGATTTGGCTATTTTCGGTACCTAGAAGCTACAAACTTCGTACCCCGCTGGCGTCACCGTGTACCCGTATACGGTCCTAACCCTGTCATCTTCCACAAGTGAGCGCCGACAGACCTGAAGCCCAAAACTCTAAACCCTTCAGGAATAAAAAGTGGGTGTTAGGTCCCGATTCCCAAAACCCCAGGAACAGTCGGGGAGCTTGATTTGGCCGCACATGTTCCCGAAACGCGTGGGAACGCCGAAGACGAAGCCGTCGTACTCCTTAGGCCAGGTAGGGGGAAGAAGGCCGAGGAGGGGTCTACCATGGGCTCAATAGGGGGGCCTGAATAATTACCTATAGTATTTTGGTGGTTCCTTGTTATAATTATGGTAGAATTGGGCCCACAAGCCCTATTCTAATTACTAAGGCCCCTATATTATAGGGTTCCTGTGAGGCTTCCCTCAAGGAGTTCATAAAGATTCTACCATGGTTTCGGGCCTTGAGGTTTGGGATGTAGGGCTTAAGGGTTGGAGTCGGGTTCAGGATACTACGATGGAAAGTTCACACGAGCAGAAGGTGTACTCGAGGGATGTGCCGGCGGCTCTGGATAAAGCATCAGGGACTGGTGCCCTAAACTTGGCAGTGGTTCAAAACATCTTTCAACAACATCGCCCTAATTATTTACTGAATTATCAAGTGCGATGTGTGGCTCCCTCGTTCGTTAAAGGCCTTCAAGGTCTGTCAGCACGGGCAATACAATGATAGGCGCAAATCGTCATTTGAGGTTGGCTCACTGCAGTGTGATCGCCAGGAGGAGACAGGGTGAGTTGGTATTTATGTTCAACATCCCAAAACACAATAGGATCGTCTGTCTTCAAGGATCTAGACGCGAATTTGAGGACTGCTCCATGGGAAAATCTATCATTCCACATTACACAGGTTAGCAACCTCACGGCAGAGAAGCGAGCATAATCTTCAGGTGGCTTTGAGATACACGTGCCGTTATCACACAGTGCACACATGACAAGACACTACTCAGCATATAGGGAAGGGTTCTTCAATGACCCCTCCACTAAGGATCTTTAAACAACCCTCGCTTGATGCTACTTTTGGAAGGTTGGGTTTAGAATTCCAGACTCGCACCTAGCCTGGCACTAACCTTGGCCCTGAAGCCACAAATCCAATACCTTCATGCAAAAACCCGCAACCTAAACCCCATCTGTAGAGACCATGTAAACATCTGACGAATACATAGGCATATAGCATGATCATATAGCACTCCCATGAAACTATATTGCCTTAGTCGCAAAGCCCACAACCTAAACCCTCAAATCCAAACCCTCAAGCCCTACACCCTAGAGCTCAACACAAGGCCCTGCAACTCATGATTGCCGAGATGCGGGGAGCAACGAGCCGATGCTGGCATGGTCCAAAGTCATGATGTCACCGGGCTTTGCGGGAGCACCCATAGCTTTGAGAGCCTGATGTCACATGGTAGGGTGCTGGCTTCAACGTCGTTGCTTGCAGGCCCTTTTCCTCCCAGCCTGCTGGGTCAGGTTTCAAGGCTTCCGAGGGGAATACTTGGAGGTTCCGGATACTTGAAACCGAATGACTAGCAATGGGTGTACTTGAATGTTAAGTTTCCCGAAACCCCAAATGCTAAATCCTAAACCGCAGACGGGGTTTAGGGTTGAGGGGGTAGGGGGTTAGGGAGGGGCACGGAACTCAACGAATTGATTTTATTGTGGTGTTTTAACCATGAGCCCAAGGGTGGCATCCTGCCGTTGGCCCGATTTCTTGTTTCAATGGTTCAATGATGTTCAAATTCACTGGCCCCATGCGGGCGAAGCCTTATAATAGGACCACAAACATTCATACAGACATATGTGCAGAGCGATGTAAATACATCAGTTTAAGTGAAGAAATCAATGGCTAAATGCATACATCATTGGTTAATTTATTCATGAATCAAGTAATCTATTTATGCATGCATACATGAGCATGCACAAACACACCCAACGACAGGTTGCTTTCTTTTAATCGCCGGGTTATCAAGTATTTCCGGCGTGCCTACTATACTTTATAAGTCCTGCCAATTCCCATCTTCCTTACTAGTTGATGATCGGAATTCAAGTTACCGTCACGAATTCTAGATCTCTTTGCGGATGGTTCTAGATCAACACCTGGCATGAATCCTGCAGATTCTGCATCTTTGGCCTCCCTGAAATGACACCCCCTGCAGCTGCATCATGCGGCGGTCGAACTCAACAACAAAAAGTACGGAAAAATGAGTGCACTACTCTAGCTGTATGGCGATGCAGAAATACACTAGAATCTGCATTATTCCAACTATGACTGTAGCTCACACAATCGTTGCGAAGTCGCCTGGCCTCATCGGGAAGCGTCTCAGCTACCTGACAGTCAGGCTTGATGCTGATAGTGCTGGTGCAGCTGCCTCAACCTGAAAGGCACTAAATGGTGTCCAATAGCCTCAGCTCCAAAACTAAGCATGGTGTAATAGAAATAGTAGTAATAGTAGTAATAGTAGTATGAGTAGTAATAGTAGTAAGCACAACGGCTGACAAAGCAATACGAGTGAAGTGTCACCGACCGAACGTGCAGCTCACCCAGGGTGTTTGGGACTCAGCTGGACTCAGCTTACTGGGAACGCTCAACTTTAGGGTTTAGGGTTTAGGGTTTTAGGGTTTAGAGTTTTAGGGCTTAGGGTTTAGGGCTCGTAAACTTGGTTAAGCCACTTGACGAAACGTCTCACGTCTTCCAACTACCAAGCGAGCGGAAGAGCCTTTGCCACAGTATGCTGTCCAAGACAACTCAACCGCTGGTCTTGACCATACAGGAATGCTAAACCCTACGCCCTACGCCCTACTGTACATCGGATTATACCAAACCCTGAACTATACTGAACTTAGAACCCTAGCAAAAAATGAAATTTTAGCTGTTTCTTAGGGATTATAGTAACCAGAAAATAGAAATTATTTCTAAGTACCCCTAAGTGAACCTTAAAGCACCATCCTGTGCCTGGAACATGTCAACCTGCACGCCGCTGTCCTCCATACCTCGGATCATGATGCTACGGCCAAGAATCGCATGAGCTGCAGGTGTGAACCGTAGGGCTCTTGTTTATATCGCAAGCTCCATGACGCTGCAGAATCGACAGGTTGTGGTAGTTCATTTTTGCATCGGCCCTATCAGCGATCCCGAACCAAACTTCGTGCCCTGGGTTCGAGACCGGCAGAGACCTATCAACCGGATGTTGGGCAAGAGCGCACTGATTTCTTTCAGTGCTTCGATGCGGAGGTTGTAGGGGTAGTGGTTACGGTTACAGTTGGGTGGACTGGCTTTTCGGACGAGATCTGCGAGCACCATGACGAATGCAAAAGTTACAAACCCAAACTGCTGGACAAGAAAGACGATGCTTCCGTCGCAGAAGCCCGTGCATGCCAGCCATTGATGAGAATCAGGGCAATACGGCAATGTGCACGGGGTCAAATTAGCAACATACAACTTACTCCTTATGACAATGGTAATGACGAAAGCCTGTTTTGTGCTCTGACCATCGTCTGGATTACATGGCGGTAATGCCCCTTTCACGACGCACGCCCGACTTCAACCGCTCAGGGCTGCAGCTTCAAAAAAGTCCTGGGGGGGGGGGCGAAAGTCATAAGCAACTTACCCTGAAACCCTAAACGCCCTAAACCCGAATCCCTATTGCGGATCGCAAGGGCGACAGCTACAGTGGATTCAGAAACCTCTGACCACGGTCTGAGGCGTCAGCACTTCTTCATCTCCTGTGTGGGCTCAGTTTAGTGAAGACACAGGGCAGACGGCTTTGTGGGGAGAAATTTTGATGGAATGTTTCGGATCCACAGTAACCAAGGAATGAACAAAATTTGGTGTTGCGTAGTCGTACAAGGAACTCAAGATCACAAAAAGGGAAAATGGGCCCACTCGGAGATCTAGATGTTTTTGTCCAGGCAAGCTGCTGGTGGCTCCGGTTTGATTGCCGTTTTCAACTTCACCTCCCAACATTTGTGAGCGCTCACTACCACCAACACCGCATCTTGCTCAAGGACTCTGCATGTGGCTATTACTTGCAGCTGTTCTCTACATGCTCCGCCGGAAGCCAGCTGCTGTGCAAACTACACGCAGCAGTCCTTGCACATATCCGTCATGTGCCCGTACATTGAGTAGTAGATCACCCTGGGAGACATGTCCAAAGAGATCTACTGGATTTGAGGCTGGCGAATCTTGGAGAAGCAGCTGCTGTTGCTGCTATCGATTCGACTCTGACTCTGTCAAACATAGTGGCTTGCCACGCCTGATTTTACGAAGTCGTGCGGCGGCTCTGAGTTGCAACGACTCGCGACTTTATCATAAACTTCCTTGAAAGTCGTCTGTCTCCTGCCTTTTGACGGACGACGAACGTCTTACACTTACGTCCCAAAACCGCAGACCATCACGAGGGCTCAGTTGGACAAGCAGTTCGCAGAATGCCCGTATAGATACATGCACTCGAAGAATGCGGGAGAACTATCTCTATAGGGATACGGAACATAATCAAGCTATCCACGGGCAACATGACAACCTGGAAATTTCAAGGAATACTGAGAGGCTTGGGCTCTACTCTAAACCGGTTTTGTGACAACGGTTTTTGACAAAAGCCTGTCAAACAAAGACCTCCCGTGTCAAAGAGGACGTCGTTTGAAGCTTGTTTCCAACCCCAGTAACTGTGGTGTACAATCCACCAATTATAACCACTAATACCGCGAGTAGGCACTGCTTGATGTCTCATGGGCATCGTGCAGCCCAGATACGCCACAGAAACGCCGGAAGCCTTCCTTGGGATGTAAAGTCCACATGCAGGCACCCCAATCAGTTTCTACTTCGGCCTGCAAGCCGTCTCTATATACTTACTCTTTGATGCCAAAGCATATGATACTTGGGAGCATGGAGGAATGTAGAGCCCTTAAAGCATCGAAGCCCGGACCTGGGCACAGGAGATTTTGCGGCAACTTCAAGCAAGCTCTGGCAACACCCACCCAACCCCCCCCTCCCGAAACCCTCCTTTACCCCAGAATGCTCATGAATCCTTCTTCAGCTAGTTCAACTAAAACATTCTCAACCCTACTAGCAAACTCCATAAGGCTTGTTGAGCGCCCCTACTGAAGCCTTGTGGTAGCAGCTCATATTTCGGATCGCATGAGGCTGCCACATTCTATAGCGCCGCACCCTGATACCTTATCGAACGGTTTTCACTACGTAGTCATGAAGCCCATAAATATGTAAGGTCCAAAAGCCTGATAGATCCCCTCAAGCAAAAATTTAACCCTACAAAACCCTATCGAAACCTGCATAGATCCACTACTCAACCCGAAACCGTCAACCCGTACGGATGCCTTTTCAAGGAAAGCCTGATAGATCCCTCTCCGAACCCCTATAAACCCCGAACTCTTATACCTATGGTTCCCGTATTACAGGAATCCCTTAATACCTATAAGCCCTGAACCCTTGTAGATCCCATGGCCATTACTTAAAGGATCATGGGACTTAGCAACTAGGGTTATAAATATGGCAACTATACTTATAATTACTTATAACCCCAATTAGGGTACTTATAACCTTACTTACTAAGTCCCCTGATCCTCTAAGTAGACCCTGAACCCTAAACTAAACCCTACAGATCCCTTGAAGGAGCCCTATAGATCCCTCTCAGGGGCCCTTTAAGAACCCTTACTAACTCCCCTGATCCTGCAAGTAGACCCTAAACCCTAAACCCTTATAGTACCCCTATAGATCCCTTAAAAGAACCCTTAAAGGAGCCTTTAAGAGCCCAAGTAAGGGAACCCCAAGGGCTGCCAAAGCGCTTCTCAGCCTTCAGGGTCGCCGCCTTCTGCGCCAGCACGCCCAAGAGTCGCTGCTTGTCCTCGGGCGTCATGCCTGGTGCACCCCAGAAACAGTAGGGTTTTGGGTTTTGGGTTTTAGGGTTTAGGGTGTAGGGCTTTTGGGGTTGAGGGTTTACCTTAACCCCAAATAACCTACCGTATGAAGGGTTTATATAAGGATTTCATCATATGAAACCCCAAAAGGGTCGGCTAGTTCGGGTTTGAGTAAGGTTTTGGGATTTAAGGCTTAAGGGCTTAGGTCCCGTACGGTTTGGGGGTCCATGGAGTTCAGGACGTCACACCATTGGGGTCGTCCCGGTACGGGATTATAAGAGGTACTATCGGGAGAAAGGGGACCCAAATGCGCAAAGCCTGACTGAAGCCTGAAGCATTAATCGAACAAAAACCTTAGTTTCTCCTTGGAGCACTAAGCTCTCCCCCATGAAACCCTAAACTGTTCATGGTCATCTCCAGCCATGAAGCTTAACCCATTGGATCCTCGAAGCCCCAGACCCCCGAACCCCAAGCCCTGGACCCTAAACCCCTAAACCCCTCAACCCCTAAACCCCCAACCCTAAACCCTAAACCCCTAAACCCTAAACCCTAAACTCCCTAAGGCACCTTCGGCAAACTTCTTGAGATCATCTTCCGAGGCGGCCTTCACCTCAACAGGCGAAGGGGCTTTTGAGGCTCTAGCAATTCTATTGGGTTTTGGGCTTTTTTTGGGGCATGGGATTTAGGGCTTTAAGAAAAGCTTCGGGGCTTGGTGTTTAGGGTGTAGGAGTTTTAAATAAACCGGATGGTATTTAGATTTAGGATTTAAACAAAGGTTTAGGAATTTAAGGCTACCGGGCCTTCGGCCCGACGTATGTGCCAAGGAATCTACGACTCATGACTTCGGGCTTTGCGTACTCTTAGGGTTGAGGGTCTAGGGTTTAGGGTGTACCACGTATGGCGGGCGGGTGTTTTTTCATGAACCTGACTGCTGTTGCTGAGGTGCACGAACATGAGAGTATCGGCATGCAAGGGAAAACAAACCATACTGCCAATACATCACACCGTCTGACTTCTGTATAATATGTGTATATATATATAGTTACACACACAGATGCGCACACATGCATACATATACATTTACATGTACTTATACAAGTATCTACCTGTCTGACTACCTATCTAACTTTCTGTCTATCTGTATATACGGACATTTTATATATGTGCATACATATATATATATATATGTACAAATCATATCATACCATATCATAAATCTACACACACACACACATATATATATATATATATATATAAACACACACACACCATATGTAAACCCCCTGTAAATGACACCCAGCCGCAGCTTCAGGGGTAGCGGAGGCTCCGGCTCCCATGGCGTCACAGGCACCTCGGCCAGGGATGCGGAGTTCCTAGGACTTATATTTTAAGGTTTAGGGTTTTAGGGTGTAGGGTTTAAGGATTTGTAGGATGAGCGAAAGGCACCCCTATTTTTACCTTGAACCCTGAGGCTTAGAGGCGTCTAGGGTGTAAAGTTTAGGTTTAGGGTTTAGGGCTAGGGGAGCAATGAAAGGGTGTCCATATGGTCTGTACAGAAGGAGATCCGAGCCCAACGAGCAAAAAGCCTCCCTGAACACCAAACCCCAAGCCCTATTTGCCAAAACCCTACCCTTAAATCCCTGAACCGGGGTGGGGCATGTTGGGATGAGAGGTCGAGCTTTGGACCTGACCTCAAACCCCAAACTCAGCCATGTGTTCAGATTAGAGGATTTAGAATCTACTTGAAACTTTGGGCACACTTACCTTAAACCCGGGAGCGCACAACAAGCGCGTCCTGACGAGATGTCACCATCTTCCACTGGCGTTGCGATCCCTGTGCTTGCATGTGATGCGAACACTTGCCTGCAAAAAATGCAACGATGGAAACTACGTCGCGTGGCGTCAGTGTGTCATGAAATCCTGAGAAGAGGGGCCATCTTTCTGCTCATGGAGCGGGAAAAACCCTGCACTATCCATCTGCCCGTTTACAAAATACAACCGCAAAAGCTCTACCTACCAATATCAATATATATATATATATATATATGTATACACATATCTTGCTCTCGGTATATGTGTACATCTCTCTCTCTCTCTCCCTTTGTATCTCTCTCTCTCTCTCTCTCTCTCTCTCTCTCTCTTCATATGATATAATACGTGCTTGTATGCACACACACACACACACACGCACATATGCCCCAAACATGGACATGAAGCCCGCCCCCTGAATTCCTGGCTCTCTAGGAAGAAAGCAAAACTGTTGAGACGCAGCTGAAGCCAGGCCAAGGTGCAGGTGCGCAAAGATGCGAGACGTTCCAGGGCTGCGAAGTCGCAAATGGCTGCATCGCAAACGATGCGGGATTCATGCTGCACCTGGTCTCCCTGGATTGTAGCCCCTCTTTGTTGATAACATACTCTGACGTTTGGACCAGAGAAGAAGAAAACAGTCCAACCAGTCCACGGTCTCGGCAGTGTATCGCAAAGCACGAGGGATGGGTTAAAGCCCTCTTAGCTAGAAGTGATGTAATTTAAGTGCCTTAACAATTAGAATGGGGCTTTGTGGGGCTCCTTATGTAAACTTACAGCATAATCTTCCCCCCCCCCCCCCCCCAACCCCTCCACCCCGTGCCCCCTTCAACAAGAAACTGTCTACTTATTAAGGCCTCTACAGTAGGTCCACTGGGCCGGTCCTGAACAAACACCCCAAACCCAACACGACGTGGATACAAATCCTACATGGGTGGTTGTCAAAATTATGGTGCCTTTTTGGGTAATTACCCTAAATATTAGGTGCCGTATTACATTAGGGATCCAGAAAGGAACACTCCCAAATCCAAACGCCAAGCGCCCAACATGCTCTGCAGCCTTAGTTGACTGCAAGCCCTGAACCAAGGAACACTAACAAAAACAAGCTTTACACCACGCATATACCAGGAAGCCCTGAGGAATAATGCTAATGGGGGCCTTAGTTATAATTACCTATGTTATTTTGGATGGCTTCGTCATTATGAATATAATATAATGGGCCCAAAAACCCGATTCTAATCATTAAGCCCCCTATAGTATACTGATTGCTCTGCCAAGCGACTCATATGGTCTAGATCCCAGGATCCAATCCCAAACCCAGGGTGACGATCCGGTTTAGGGTTTCGGGAACCCTGAACCGTTTACACCCTAAATCCTAAACTCTAAAGTGTGTACGTACTTCCGCCTGCTCTCCACCATTCGCCAGGAGGTCGCCTCCTGTAGGCCTTGCAGGCAGGAAGACATCTTCGTAACAGTCCAAAGAACCAAATGCTCAGGCTACCATTTAGGTACCCGCATTGTTCATCAGGTGCCGCCAAAATATTGCTCATGAAAGGGAACCCGTACAAGACCATAACACCAAGTATCCCAAACTGACACTCATGTAGTCGTAGCCGTGAGAAATCAACGTCTTGTTTTTGATCTGCCCACAATGCAAGCAAACAAGCAATTATCAAAGGTTTGCTCTGTTTCTGGTGTGATTGGCTCGTGGTTTCTCGTTGTCCGTTGAAGTCTTGGCGTTTGCTTTTGGGTTTGGGCTTTGAAATAGTTGTTGTAAACTCCTATACCTGATAGCCGCATTGAAACCCGTGATCCCTAAACCCTGCACCACCGAAACTTAAGCGACGCCAGCACGATGAGTCCGTTTGTTGGCAGCTTGTTTCGGAATTATGGTTCCGTACGTTTATGTATGCTAGGGTTCGTGCTTTGGAGGTGCGGGGTTTAGGCTTTATGAGCGCTAGCGCCTAAGGGTCCAGCACAATGCAACGCACGTGCCATAAAGTGACAAAGGTACATGGGCCCCATAGGCCTCATAAACCCAAACCTCAACCAGCATCGCACCTTCATCGTACCTTCATCATGCCCATGTAAGAAAAAGTACGATCCTCATTCTAAGGACCCCAAAATAAGGTACCCCTATAATTGTCGGAAACTCCCATCTGGCCAAACGCAAGCCTGTGCGCAAGCCCGCCGTAAGAGACCGGAGAGCCGACGCGCCCCCAAACGCCAGGGGCTGCGCGGTCCTAGGGCTTTGGGTCCCTAAACCGTAAACCCTTTGGAGTTTAGGATTTAGGGCTCTGGTTTAGGCTCTGGTTTAGGGCTCCAAGTTTAGAGCTTATGGGGTTTAGGCGTCCGACTTCTTGCGGGTCTTCATCCGTCCGCAATATCATATCCACACATCGGCTTTGTGAGTGCTTGACCCAGTAGGGTGATATTGGGGCCTTGAACAACCAAATCACCAAATAGGGTTCGGGGGGTACGTTATACTACTGTTCCACTAGCTTCAGTGCCAAGGAACACCAGGAGCGCTGGTAATTGCTTATGGGCCCCTAAACCCTAAACCCTAAATCAGTGTTTGAGAATTGCTTATAGGCCCCATGTTTAAGATCCATGTTTCCTGTCCTGGTCTCCGCCACACATCGCACGGCAACCTTCGGTGTCTCCTCGCAGGCTGCTAAGGGCTTAAGGGTTGAGGTTTAGAGGGCTTGGATCGGTGGCTGGAGGGCTTTAAGGCTTGAGGTTCGAGGGTTTAGGATGTGCTTATGGGTTTGGGTCTTTGGCCTTCATGAAAGTATATCTATATATATATATATATTCATGAATTTACTTGTTTATTTCTTTATTCATCCTTTGTGGGAGGTTTGTGTTTGCTTAGGGTTCTAGAGACTGAACTCTTCAGGGCCTCGCTGTTGAATGCCGGATACAGCACCGTTGGAGGCCCACAGAACCTCGCAGCTGCATAAACCCTGAACTTTGGGCATGGCCCCCATACAGTAACAGTCTATAATAGGGCTACTATTAAGGGCCTTATATATCTGTATTATGGATATTATCCAACTGTTACTGAGTGGGGGCCGTACCCAACCTGAACTCACTGACTCGCGTCCCCCGGGAGTCCTGCGAGAAAGAACGAGAAGCCAACCTTGAACCATAAGCAGTCTCCGAAAGCCGCAGGGCTGATATTCCTCCTAGGAAGCCCCTAATCCTACAACATTCGCTCAAGGACACCCTAAGTTCCAAAAATGTTCCTTGAAGGAGGCACCAGAGTACGGAAACCTTACGAGCGACCAGCTGAGGAATGTTCTGAGTGTGCACGATGCCAGAAAAATCCCAAATTCCTGTAAGTCAACACCCTTAGCTTCAAACATCCTTCCCTAAACCCTGAACCCTAATTAAAACCCAATTAACCCCTGAACCCTGAACCCGAAAAACCCTAAGCCCTTAACCCCTTGAATCTCTCCTTATCGCTGGAGGCACCCGCTGCTTCCGCCGCCTCCTCCAGTTCCCGGCGGCGATCATGGAGGAGGCCCTGTCTTCGGTTCGGGTTGGGGCTTAGGGGTTGGATCTTAGGGCTTTGGGGTTTAGGGTTTTGGGGGTTTAGGGTTTGGGATTATGAGTTTAGGAGACCCCCTATTATGTGCTCGACCACACATCGTAAACGAACGACCGAAGTACGGTGAGCTTCATACTCCAGGAACCCTTCCAGTATGCATTCGCAAGAACACCCGAACCACACTCCACGGACCATCAGCCCTTGAACCCACAGAGATGCGGGCCTGGAACAACCGGGCGAAGTCCCTGCTGCTTTGCCTTTGCTCAGCTGTGATGATTTAGGTTATAAGCCTCTACATGGTGTTTACACGGTCAGAACTCGATATTCAAACTGATGAAGCATTGTTACACTGCTTTGTAACAGCTCTTTTCCTTTCGAAGTTCTCTACTTCTTCGTATGGGATTTGTGTAGAGTTGCCAACATCTGATGCTGTGGACAAGTTCGGTTTCGGGCTTACGGGAAGGAGATTGCGTGCAGAGTTCCAGCTGGATACATAAAGCCTGAGTAAGTTCACCGAGGTTTCTCTATTGTTTTTTATTGAGAGAGTGCAAGGGTATACTACGAAATTTTCATGTCATAGCTAGCCACACACCCGTAACCGTATGATTTTAGTTAGGAGCCGGCTATTTCGGGTATAGTGGGCACGAGGAGGATGCAAGTTAGCAGGTCCATGCAGTGTTCGTGCGGAAGGTAGCGGCTTTCAGGGATTAGAGCAAACTCTCCACCCGAAACCCAAGCCCCTAAGCCCCCTAAACCCTAAACCCTAAGCCCTAAACTCTAAACCCTAAACCCTAAACCCTAAGCCCTAAACCCTAAACCCTAAACCCTAAGCCCTAAATCCTAAACCCTAAACCCAAGAACGGCCGATCGCCAAGTTCGGAAACTGTTTGAGCTAAGCCTCTGGAAGGCTGGAGTCTGGAGCACGATTCCTAGACCTTCGAAAATGACCCAATCCTAAAACTTCAACCTCCTCAAACA